AAAAAAAAAAGAACCAAGGACACAAAGCTATAACATAGAAGCACAATATATGAATTACACTAGAGAAATAGTCTGTTTGCCCCAACACATGTTTAAAAGATGAGAAAATTAAGATATTCCATCTCAAGCAGTTCCTAATATATTACAATGTGAGACATAAATTTGGTTCATGTCCAGTGTTTTCTGAGATGCTCTCCATTGTTTTCTCCAATACAGTAATCTTTTGAAAATATATCCTGTGTGTTTGAAACAAAATTTTAAGCTGTCAATCTTTTTTAGAACCCTTATTATTTAAACATCCTCTTCACTTTTGTTATATAAGCAGTATTCTAAATCTTGATGATAACACAAGTATGAAAAAATTATTTACAAGTAGATTTAGAATAATTAACATGCTGTAAAACTATAATTCTGTAGTAGATCAAGAAAAAGTAACAGTTGTCTTCATATAATTGGGGCTTTCCTTTCTCTTTTTTCAGTTTGTTTTCTTTGCTATCTAAAAAGCACAACAAAGTTCTGGAACAAGCCACACAGTCTTTGAGAGGTTCCCTGAGTTCCAGTGATATTCCTCTACCAGATTATGTAAGTAGCTGCCTTATCTTATTGATAACAGTTTTCATTTTATTGTTAAATTTATAAATAATAATACCTCTCAAAATCTTTGCCTTCAGAAACTTCTGGTATGCAAATAAAGAAATGAGGTCTCCAGAGAAAAGTTTTACAATGATTGTTGTCAAATGGTTAAGGAAGAACAACCCTGAAATAATAGTTATTGGGAACCCTAATATCTGAGTCAAGAATCCCATTCAAGCTAATTCCACAAAAATAAAAGAAGTGATTTTATAGGAATTGCAAAAAAAAAAAAGGAATTGTACAAAGATTTGTCACTGAATTCAGTGGAAGATTGAGAGGGGGGAATACACGTGGATTTCATAGAGAACTATAACCTAAAATTGAAACATGATGAGGTTCAGAAATATCTTGTTACTGAGGCCCATTTTGTTTCTTTTCTTTTTTACAAAATGTATGTATTTATTTTTCTAATTACGTTTTATTGGTACATTTTACATATACATAATGATTACATTCATTATAGTGAATTTGTACCTGTACATAATGTTTATTTTTTTCCATTCCCCTACACTCCTCTAAATCCCTCCTCCACTCCTCATTTACAATAATTTTGTTTCCATTTTTTTTTTCCTCTCTCTTTTTACTTTTCCATTCCTTCCTTTTCTCTTCCCCCTCTTCAGCGCCCCTCCCCATCTGGACATTGTCTTCCTATCTCACAGTACCTATTATACATTTTGGTCCTTATTTGTACCTTTAGTTTCTCATTCTAGAGAAACAATGTGGTATTTACACGTGTGTATCCAATTGATTTCACTTAAGAGTGTAGTTTCAAAGTATATCCATTTACCTAGAAATGTCTTAAGGTGATCCTTCTTTATAGCAGAGTTGGACTCCATTGTATTAAAGAAGCCACATCTTTCTCCATTTATCAGTTGATGGGCACTTGGGTTGTTTCCAAGATTTGGCTATTACAGACTGTGTCAGTGTAAACATGGGTATGCCTATATCGTGATGGTATGATGCTTTTAATTCCATTTCGTTTCTGATCTTTGCTCCATTTTGCTTCTGCTTTATTTTTCTGTTGTACATTACCAGCCAGGTTTCTTCTTTGCTCATTTGGGTATAAAATAGAAACCCCAACTCTTAACTTTTTTCTTGCTCACCCAAAACATGTCTTGGTGATATGAGTGAGTACCCTTAGCTAGCCCATCAGTCTTGAAGTTTCAGTTGTCATTCATGGGAAAGAGAATCCAGCTGACTGGTGTCTTACTAATAAGGAACTCTAAATTTATCAGGCATGATCAGTAAAGTAGTACTATAATATGTTGCCTTTGTTTCACCCACTTTAATCTTTATTTATGTATGTATGTATTTGGTACAGGGTCTCCCTATACAGCTCAGACTCAGTGATCCTCTTGTCTCAGCCTTGTCAGCACTGGGATTACAGGTGTGTGCCACCATGCCTGGTTTCAGTGGCCAGCATATTGTGTCCATGGTTCCCAGCTGGCATGGCATGTGGTACTGGGGATCAAACTCCAGTCCTTGCACTTGCCAGGCAGGTACTTAGACCATCAAATTATCTCCCCAGCCCTGTTTCACCTACTTTAAAGATAATTCCTCACTACCACCTGTCCTTGGAAGATGCTGATAGAGTACAATACAAGCAACATAAAAATGAGCTTTGTACGATAATAGGAAAAAGAGTGTGCTGTGAGTCCCGTTAGAGCAGGGCAACTGTCTGTAACATTTTTTAGTTTTTGGAACATGACTTAAATGAAGGTACTAAGAATTATCTTGCCACAGAAGTTGTTTATGAGATTTTAATTGAGGTCTCACTTTAGAAAGTTGATATTTAGAGAATTTATTAGAGAACTTTAAATTCAGTATTTGAAATGGCATTGTGTACCAGACAGTTGAAAAGTTGTTTTGCTTGTTTCCTGTCATTTGTTTCATTTCTAAATGGTTGTGCTGATAGGAGACTGGAAACAGCATCCAGACCAGATATCAGTCACCAATAAACAAAGATAGCTGTGTGTAGCTACAACTGGCCACCTCTTTTTCTTGTTTTTTATTTATCTTGTATGTGTGTGTCTTCATGTATGCTATACAGAATTTCTCATCCTACTAAGATACTGAGTTTATATTTTCAAAAAGTATTTTTAAGACTTTCTTGCTAAGAATATTCCAAATTTTTTTAGAGATTAGTTTATTAGCTCACTTAGTTCAATACTTACTTTGCCTTTAGATAAGGAGAAAATCTCTAATACCTCTTTAAAGATCTATGGTGAAACAAGATGGCAATGGGAAATTGTGTTATAAAGAACTTGAATTTGTTTCATCTTTGGTTTTTTGGGGTGTTTTTTCATGTATTTTTAGTGCAAGGTCTCACTACATAGATTAGACTCACAGTGAACCACCTGTTTTCAGCCTCCCAAGCACTGGGATTACAGGGTCACACCACCACACCCAGTCTCATTCACCATCTCAGCACACTCCGGAGGCAGGGCCAGCGCGGCATGTATGGATGGAACCTGTTCCCTATGACTGCCTAAGCAGGCATTTTAATCCGCTAAGCTATCTGGCTGGCCCTGGTTCATCTTTGTTTTGTTACCTTTATATAATTGTTATTTAATTCAAGTAATAGTTTTATCACTTACTCCACAAAAAGTGTTCAGTTTATAAGGTAACCTGAAGTTGCCCAAGCCACATTTGTCTATAATCAGAAACACATAAAATTGATATTTCTTAGAGAAAATACATTATATTGAATGGTATTTGCCAATCATGGAAATGATTATACAATGATAGGACAGTTTGGATTTATTGCCTTTTTTTTTTTTTTTTTTTTTCAATAAGTTTATTGAGAAAGTAGTAACAAAGAGATAGTTTGATACAGAGTCTCACTATGTAGTTCAGGCTGGCCTTGAACTTGTAGTGATCCTCTTGCCTCAGCCTCCCAAGTGCAGGGATAACAGGCTTGACAGTTTGAATTTCTCATAGACATTTGAATGCTATTATTGAATGTTACAGTTTTTAGAATCATTATTTGACTATTTTCTTCTTTCATGATATCTTTTCTTTTTTTTTTTTTTATTTTTCCAAAATTTTATTGATAAACAGCAATGAGACAGTTTCAAATCAAATCGGAAGTAC